TCATCAACTAGCAAGGCCCAGAGCAATGAAACAAAATAAGCTTCCTCTCATTCAAAGCAAAGTTAATGCCGAGTGGGTGTAAATATCTTGAAGATAGCACTTAATTTGTAGTTGCCTAAATTATCAATATTTAGGGAAGTTGCAATGTAATGTCAAAGAATGTTCATAACCTTGCAAACATTTCTAAGCAAAGCCATGCTCTTGCACCATGATTAATTGTCAGGCATCAACGAACTACTGAGCAAACACATATTACTTGCCTGGGTGCACTAATGTTTGCTAACCTGGCATTTAACACAGTTTCAATATGTTCAAATGACCACTTAATCAGGTCTGGGAAAGATCTCAAGGATATTCTAATCTGAATAGTTGGAATAAGATTTGTGAAACCCACTGTCCTGTTAAGATCATCCAAGTGAAATGGTTCTACCCAGGGAACTTGTCATTTTGGTCAAGAGGTTTCCTGTTTAGGCAAGATTTCTTAGCAATAAAAACATATTTGCCACATCTAACTCCGTGGTTTGTGCCAGTGCGAACTGTTTTGTTACCTTCTACAAGGCAACCTTTTAGTCTTCTGAAAATAAATTGCTATCAATAAATAATTTCAACCAACTTTTCTTAGGACCTAAATAGACTTGTTCATTTCTGTTTCCTGTAGCATGCTTTCTAAATCCTTTCTAGATTTTTCAGTTTTCTCTAGATGATCAGCATTGTAAATTGAATAGCATAATCCAAATGACACGTTATCAGTAGTAGTGTTGCTCCCTCTTACTTCTGACAATGTATTCTAGAAAGGTATAGAAACATAGAAACAGAACAAGTCAGAAGGGCCCATCTAGTCTGACCCCCGGCTCCAGCCAGCTCCACTCATGACATATCTACCATGTGAATGTACAGCCTATCCTTAAACACCCTCACTGATGGGGCTGCAGGCACCTCCTGTGGAAGCCCATTCCATACCCTAGGAGTCCTAACTGCCAGGAAATACTTCCTGGCATCCCAATTGAACCTTGGTTCCCTGAACTTTGCTCCATTAGAATGCACCCTGCCCTCCTCTGCAGGGGGAAACAGGTCTCTACCCACTTCCATGTGACAACCACTCATGTACCTATATGTCTCCTCTTCTCCAAGCTGAAAAGATCCAGCTCCCTCAGTCTTGCTTCATACAGCTTTCCCTACAAACCAGCCACCATCCTTGTGGCCCTATGCTGCACTGATTCCAACCTGGCTATAACCTTCCTGTAATGTAGAGCCCAGAACTGAACACAATACTCCAGTTGCGAGCGCACCAGAGTCGTGCAGAGTGGCAGTAATACCTCTCTTGATCTAGAAGCCATACTTCTGGTTATGCAATCAAGGGTGGCTTTCACCCTCTTGACCACCGTGTCACACTGCTGACTCACGTTTAGCCTGCAGTCGACCAGTACCTTAAGATCCCTTTCACAAGTGCTGCTCTCCAGCCACCTGTCCCCTAACCTGTGCTTATGACACCCATTCCTATGCCCCAAGTGCAAGACCTATGCTCCAATTTCAAGACCTTGCATGCATAAGATAGGGGTAGTTTTAAAAGCCCTGTTTGCATACTTGGTTTAGTAGTTTTTTCCAGCAGAAAGTTGAAGATGAATTGGCCTGGGAAATAAGAAGACATGGGGGCTGGCAGAGTAGAGGGATGCACAACAGTCTATGAGGGAAGAACAAGAGCAGCAACAACTTTGAGGCAACTGCCCGCGCACATGCATACTCAGACACGTGTGTGTGCATACGTGTTTGTGTACAGACGGCTAAATCAAAGCTGCAAACTTGCTTTTAAAAAACCATTCTGGGAATAAGAATATTGGATACAAGAATCAAAAAAGAAAAATGTCCCATCATTTTGATATCTTTTATACATTGTAGTGGTTACTGAAATAAAGACAAGCAAATTAAATATACAGAGATAAAACAGAGACAGGATTAATTCTGTAAATTAGCAACTCTGTTTCATCATCCAAAACCTCTACTGGAATCTTAAAAAATAGAAGACCCTAGGCATTATCCCTGATACAAAAAAGCAAAAAAGAAATCTCAGTAGAAAAGCTTTTGCTATGTCAGCCAATCAGAAAGTGAAAGGAACAGCCGTACTATTAAACGTTCAACAAATGTATAAAAAGAGGATTTTCTGAAACTGCTCTACCAGCTTAAAACCAAGCTATTCATTTGCAGAGGAGAGAATTATGAGGGGCACCCTAAGAAGATTTGCCCTAAAACACTTTTAAAGCATAGAAACAAGGGAAATAATGTTTTATTCAGAAAATAAAGATTCCTAAATTGTTAGTTCTGCATTCTCATCTGGGAAATTAACAATTTATTTTCTTTTACTTTCTAAAATGGCAGGGAACAGGTATGAGACTTAAAAAGATGATAAGAATAAGTTGTTTTTTTCCCAGTTACTGTTCATAAATACATTTATTTTACATGTAAGTCTATTCATAACAACATGTCTCTGTTTTGTACTGTTATTATTTTGTGGCCTCAAAAGTACAGACAAACATATGCACTGATACGATTCTTGCATGGTACTCCCAAGTGCTGGTATCAGGTTAGGGACACTCTACTGGTGTAGCAGTAGGTATACCTCATCCAACACACTTATTTGCTGGAACAGTCATAACATGGAATCAGGGGAGTATTCAGTTTGGCAGCTCAAAAATATCCTCTGTGGTATCTCATGCTGCTTGGAGTGAGAGTTGTGGGCAGGCTTCACTCCCTGCACCTCTAGCCATTCTCTAAAATTTGGAGTGGCTGCAGGAACATAATGGGCACTTCGCTGTGTGTGGATAACCAGCACTTCATATAAGTAAATGATTATTAGATTCTGTCTTTCAGATTGGTCTCCTTCATTTGCAAGCATCATATAATTACAACTCCTCCTTTGCTAAAAATAATTAGGCTCATTATTATATTTTGCTATAGTTTTTAAAGTAACCTAGTACTTTACCAGCCTGAGTGCTGTTTGCTCATTTTGAACTGTCCTGTTAAAATCCTCCTAACAAAGAGGAAGAAAGAACAAAAAATGAAATGAGGAAATTCTAAAATATGTTGATGCTAACTCATTTTAACTTCGAGATCCTTTTATTTTTTTCCCCAAGCTTTTAATGCCCTTTAATACCATTCAGGAAATTCAGTTTCATTTCTCTAAATGGAAAAGCATAATGAACATTCATTAGAAAATGTATTTCACACCAAATACTCAGGCAAATATGCATTAACCCAACAGGGGTATAATTCAAACACAGCTGCCATAAAACTCCATTAATTTCAAACTCCATTGAAATAAATGGAGGCTGAACAGTAGGATGTTGCATCTTTTTCATATATAACTAATTTTGAAATGAAAAAGGATACAAGCAAATGTTGCAGCAAATCATTAATCCAGTTTTAATCACAAATGAAAGGGTGTTAGATCAAGGTTGGCATATGATGGTCTCCTTCCTTGCCTGATACTAAGCAACTTTTTATTATATAGGAACCTTGTACAATTAAGACATCTAATTATCTAAGCTCTCATGCTTAGACCAGTTGAAAGAAATCATGTAGAACCAGTCTGATACAATGAGGTGCTCTAGCCTATGTTATTCACCTTGCTTCAAGTTTTCTTCCCATTCCATTCTCCCTCATTCCTTTCTGAGGATTCAGAGGTGTGTGGGCTTCATACCAGAGTTTACCAAGATTTGCATGATTGCCCTTCACACATCTGGTTCTTTGCTTTCTGTAATATAACAGTCAAAGGTGCTAGACTGAGGCTGTGATGTGCAGGAATGAGATTTCACTTCCTCCCATGGGCCATACCTCCACCAGTAAGCACAATCCAAAGTTGACATTTGCCATGGAGCAAAAGCATTGGAGGAACCATTTTTTCTGGGGCTGTGAAAGGGGAAAATGGCTAATTTCGTACTCTCAATCTTTATGCTGATTACTTCCAAGGCTCCTGTTCAAAAACAGATATATGAAATGCAATCATACATTGCACATATTGTCTGGCTTGGCCCTAGATCTGGTCATTGCTCCTCAATTGATATCCTGCTGAAGGTAAAACCAAGTGTCTTCATTGTCACCAACTTGAAAAGGGAGGCAACTGAATGTATTTCAGAAGAAATGGTAAAGAAACACTTAATTTTTCTTGGTACCAAATTTTGCAGATGGAATCCTAGGAAAATATGATATCCCTAGAACAGGACCATGTGAACTACTTTCAGTTCCTAATAAAAGGAAAATGAATGATATATATGTAATAATCAATAACTTTGATTCAAATAGATAAATTTGATTCAAACCAGTTAGCATAAACTGTATCTCAAGGTGATCTGCTGTTAATTCCATTTTTGATGATCACTCTGGGAAGTTATTTCAAAGGACTGTAGCTTCCTTCCACTTCCAGCCCCTTAATCATTTTAGTTGCCTTTTTCTGCATTTTTTTGAATATCCTTATTTAAATGCGATGACCAGAACTGTACACAATGTTCCAACTCTGGTCACCCCACTGATTTATATGATATTGGCAGCTTTATTTTCAATTCTTCTCCTAGTTACACGTAACATGGAATTTGCCTTTTCATAGCAGCCACTTATTCACATGATATTTCATCAAGCTGTCCACCACAACCCCAAGAACCATTTTTTGATCAGTCAGCACTAACTCAGATCCCATCAGCAAATACATAAAATCCCACCTTCATATATAATCTTCAGATACCTAGAATTGTCTCCTAAAGGTTCCTTTTCATTGTTCCTTTTTTAAAAAAATAAGCTGTACTACCTAGGCATAAACCTGATATAGAAAATATAGAAGCCTTATCAGCAGTCAAGCAACTTATATGGACACTTATATCATTTAATGAGGATGCACCACCTGTAGCCCTTCAAATGTTTTGCCCTACAACCTGTAGGACAACACATCTAGTGGGACACATGTGCTTGATCAAACCAGAAGGCTTAGACATACATATATGAATACCAATTACCTCAGTCAGGTGAGGGTTGGGGTTGAATCCACACTGATTGCAGACCTTGTTGTGACACTGTGTACAGGTGTTGAAGTTTGGCTGGTTAGGAGAAGAGGTGAGTTCTGTTGTCTTGCATATAGGACAGAGAGTGCTGCTAGGGAGAGGTGCAATTTGTGGGACAGAATAAGGTGAGGTAGGGGTGCTGGCTCTATCGGGTGACACAGATGGCGAACGTCCTGATCTCTGGTCCCTCCTGTCCACCTGGAGAGTCCTCCTTGGCCCATCAGCCTGTTGTTGCGGGGTCTGTCCATGGCTCCTCATCTCCCTTGTGCTTTCACTGGTCTGAGCAGCTTGTTTTAGGGATGGGGATGCTGCTCTCTGTCCAAAGGAAGGGTCTGATTGATCTGGTCTTCTTGGTGTGCTGAAACATATTAAACACATATATTATACACCAGGTCACAGAAAATTTACATAAGATAAACAAAACTCTCTTGGATATTTCATCAGGACCATTCTTGAAAGGAAATTCAAGAATCTATAAGATTCAAAGTTAATACATGAAAACATTATATAAGGTTGTTCAGACACACATTAATATCACTTCCCCTTTCCTAGAACTTCTAAAAGTAGGAGATCATTTCAAGATTCAGTTCTAAATATTTATTCATTCATTCATTTATTTAAGGCTTTTATATTCCACCCTTCACAATGTCTCAGGGTGATAATACAATAAAATAAGTAAGATCCAACAACACTGTATCACACTGACCAAGCTAATAGTATGTGTCAATGAATTTCAAAGTGTGCTCTATTTTTTACTCACACTCTCAAAGAAGAATAGGGGACATTGGAACCAACATGAATTAGGCATACTGTATTCTGACCAGATAGCTTCCCACTATTGGAGAATGCTATCAGGTAGTTTACAATACTGCGACAGAAGAATTCTCAGGCTACCAGTAGAAACAAACCCCATCCACTTTATGTTGCTTACATGGCACAAACTGGTTAGGGAATAGGTAGGCTGTTACAGGAATTTCTAAAAAGCACTTTTTTGCCAAAAAATGGAAAGGCATTTAAAATGAGATTCTGGGGCTGTTGCTGTTGGTTCAATGTTCACAGTTGAGAATAGGTCAATGGACTGCAAGAATATCCCTTCTTCTTTAGAACACAAGCATGTGTGTACATTGCAATTCATTCTTGCATCCTTCATAAAAGAAATGTCCAACAAACCAGAACATCTAAATTTACGTGTATTTTCAGATGAATGAATTACAACTTCACTTGCTTCCACTCATCTATTTTATATGACAAGATCAATCACTGATGGTCTTTTTGAAATTCAAGTCTGGTGAAGTTCTTCAGAATGACACATTGCAATTTCATGTTTCTTCATGTCTTAGTCATATTAATAAACTCCCTATCATTCAGAAACAGAAAATCCTCTACTGCTTATTCTGTGCTCAGCCCTTTATGTCAAATGGATTGGCATTGTCCCAAATACATTCTGAATTCTTCTGCAACCAGAATTATATTAGAAACAGGATAAAATTAGCAAGAAATATTAAACAGGCATAAAAAGTTTATTTGCTCTTCGACTCAGATTTGAAGTTAACAAAGCCAAAGACTTCCAGAATGTTTAATAAGCATGGTACATCTTTAGAATACATCAATTACACAGTTTTACACTGTTCAACTAAACATCTGAATGTATGCCTGCTGTTCTAGTAATACAATTTCTTCTGACTATTTGAGTGGAACATAGAGCTGAAGCGGAACATGGCAGCCCCTTGCTTCATTTTCCCCTTCCTTAATAATATGTAGGATCACTTACCTAATGTTGTGAGATCATTAAACTGTCCATTTCCACAAACCCCCAGGAGCAACTAATGACATGGAAAGTGAATGGAGAAATGTACCATGTGATGATGTCATGACATGGGGTAAATGATCCCAAACATTTCAAAGCATAGGAGGCCCATGTGACACAGGGCTTCCATTTTCAATGTATTTCTTACAATATGAAAATTCAGCTTCAGCACTTTTTTCTTACAAAACATTTCAATAGTATCTACTAACCAAAAGCATACTTTATCTCCCCTTGATATTTAAAAAAGAAATTCTAACAAGAATGGGTTTGTAATGGGTGAAGTATCAAGAAGATTAAAAATAAGCTACTAGTCTAATTAATACTGATTTGAAAATGATAGCTCCTTTCATAGTGTTACTGCTTTCTTTTACATGAGTTACTGCATCACCAATGCAAGTGCCTTCCATTTATGAGAAACAATTTTAAATATAACAGAGGTTTATTATGTATGCTGTTTAAAATCATTTGTACACAGAACCCCAGAAGCAAAGTTACATGTAACTTTCATCAACTGTTCTTAACAAGAAAATGAAGATAGTGTGAGACAAATCTTTCCCTTATCTTACTGCAAACAATACTATATAAAATGAATTAGCAGAAGCCTGTTTCATATTAGAGAAGTCTGACAACAATCTTGCTAAGAGATAGTAAATGAAGTTTATTTCCAATTACTGTAGACCTTCCAGGTATCATCACTGTTGCATCTCCACAGAAAAGGGTTCCATGTTATTGTGCATGATTTTTTAATTTTTTTAAAAATCTATTAATGTTTGAAAAGGAATTTTATTTCCTGTTCATTTGACCATTTAATTTGTATGCATCCCAATATACGGTGTTCATTCTGTACATATATTGAAATGCAAACCATGACATTCAAAGTATACTAAGCTAGATTCTTACCTAATGGAAAAATAAAGGAAATTTCACATCAGGTGAGAATGCAGAGAAACACTAGCAAAAGATCTGGATGAGAGACTCTAAAACCATTTACAACCATCTGGCTTCGTCTGGCAGACTAGTCCCAACAAGAAATTCCCAAATAGGCTGTAAAATCAGTATATAGAAGACCTGGAATCACACTATGAATAAACAATTCTTGCTTTCTTTTAGACACAGGATTTTAAAGTTTATATTTATTTAGAAAAGTATGAATTGCCATTTTGAAAGGATTAAACTGGCATGTAAACTTTCCTCTCCATTGTTAGCAAACTGCAGTAGAAAACAACACCCCAGTAAATTCAAATCATTTTACTTATTTTTCTTTGTTATAAAAAATGTGAGCACTGAAACCCCAAAATAAAAATCCACACTCATATCACTGAACTCAGAACCACAATTTGCCCAAAACTGAAAAGTAACTTAGTGAAATCTTATCATGTTTTCTCAGAAATTAATCCTACTAAATTCAAAAGAAGTTTACTCCCAGATATATATGCACAAAAATACAGTCTAAAATCATCATTCTTGGAAAAATAAGGATCTTTCTCCTCTCACTGTGTAACTAACAGTCACACAGATAGTAGGGGAAATATTCTATAACCTACCTACAACATGAGCAAGAACATTTTGTTATCCATTCTGGATTATTTCAAAGCTTATTTATTCTGATTATTCTTGCAACCATTGAATGGCCCTAATACACTGTAAAGAAACACTTCAATGGCTTGATTATTTGCCTTTAGTTTGCTAAATAGCATTAAAAAGGTAATGTTATGCTTTGTCTCCACATGGGCATTGTTTGGATTTAATTATATCACAAAAACTATGGTAGACCTACCAAATTAATACGCAAGTGTGCCAAAGCAACATTTTTATAAGCATTTTTATGCTGGCATAAACCATGTCACCTAAAATGGTGAAGGTTTAAAATGGTTTTATTATCTAAAAATGAGCACACAGTTCATATAGAAGCCAGGTTACTCCACCATTTCCAGCTGATTTGGCTTCACAGAGCATAGCAGGGAAACAAAATGGATCAACCATTATGAAAGGAGTAAGGGATTTTAAAAGGTTCAAAGGCACACTGGAATGAAGAATAGCAAAAAAGGAACTCTGCTCTTCTATAAGCCAAATTGGATGATCTGAAATGTGATGTGGAGGCTAAGGATCCCAGCAAAATTTTTCAAGCTCTGGTTTAGAAACAAACTTCTGGAGTTTGTAAGAGTCCATCTCAAAGGACAGACAATGGGTTGTATTTAGCACTAGTCCTACTTAGAATAGACCTATTGAAAATAATTGGATTTGTTTTAGACTAGCATTGGATACCCAGAAAATTACCTGGTTAGCATTTAAATTCAGCCCAGAGAAGAGATCCTAGCTCATCTCCAGTGACCTTTATGATCCTCAAAGAAACTCCTACCTGGCTTCCATGTCCCCAAACACCAAACATCTTTACCTATTGACCAAGCAATGAGAGACAGCAGAGAGAGGAGGTGATTTTTTTTCCTTTGTAATGGGCCTGATCCTTCATATACACATTCTGGCATTCTGACATAGGACACCTCTAATCACTGAGAGTCTTTTATTGCAGCCATAGTAAAAGCTTAATAGTTACACACTTCAGAAATCATAAAGCAGGTAACAAATAGCTATAGGCTCCATTAGGAATTCTCAAAGGATTCAAAGTTAATAACTATAAATGTGTCAATAATCCAGACAGCTTGGTCTTCCCACTGAAGTATGTTTGGCTGAGCATACAGGGCAAGGACTTAAATGATTCCTGAGGCTAAAATTTCAAGGTAATCAAAGACAAGTGTTCTGGAAAAAAAATCTAAACAAATCCACACAGAGAGAGGTTTAGACCAACCTTGAAATACTAAACAGGTCAAGACTTATCAAATGCATGAGTTAAGACAAGTTGAAGAGTAAATCCAGAGTAATACCACAGATACTATGATTTTGATAACCACAACTTCTGCTTTGGTATCCCCGTGCTATTTGGATCCAGGCACAGAAAAGTCCAAGAGTTTGCATCAAGCCTTCTGGCAACTCTGTACTATTGGAGATGAAGATACATAATCTATAGCAAACAAGAATTCAATTCCATTAAAAGTATAGGGATCTCTTTTCATGGCAGCTTGCTAGCAATTTAGAGTTTAAGACACAAAAGTTCAAAGTGGATGAGACAGAGAAGGAGTCCAAACAGAGAGGATTTGAGACAGTAAAGAGACTATTACTGGCCAAGACTCCCAGTCAGGGTACCCACGTTTCAAGTAACTGTGTAGCTGTGATGGCTCTCTTACTGAACAATTTAGTGGCAAAGGATTTTAGCCCATCAAGAAAGCCCCTGTCCAAACAGGGTGTCTCTATTTTGCCCCATCTCTCGTGTCAGGTACTCACAGAGAAGTTGCCAGCCTCTCTTCCCCGTTGAGGGTAAAGGAAGCAGCTGGACAGAAATAATAGAACTCCCAGTTGCTTTCCTCTGAGAGCACTAACAGAGATAAACTCACACAGTCTGCATAAGCTGAAAGGATAAGGCTCACTGTAGCAGTGAACCACTACATTCCTTCCCTTTCATTGCCCTGCCCCATGTGCAAAAGCCCATAAGAGAA